GAGCTCAGTGATGCCCTGGTCCAGTTCTGGCAGGAAATAACCCAGGACACCATCCGTCATCTCATTAGGAGCATGCCCCCGACCTTGTCAGGCATCCATGCAAGCACATGGGGCCATACAAACTAATGAGTATCATTTTGAGTTGCTGCAATGAAATTTCAGCAATTGGGGCATCTTTGAATTCAGCCCTCTGTAGGTTGATAATTTTTCATTTCCAACAATGTGACATCCTTTCGTTCCTAACAGTCCAGTATACAGTAGATATGCAGCATGATATTTTACCCCATTGAGATCTGATGTTTTCAAAGTGTTCCTTTAATATTTTTTTGAGCAGTTTAGATAGCAAACTGACTTATTCATTCTTGCCCCAAGCTTGACACACGATGGCTATATGTTTGCATAAACTAATGAAAGTGGATGTTACAGGGCTCCAAGTCAAAGCATCCCCTTCCACTGTTCATTTAAAGAGCTGTATACAGACCTTTTTTCCAGGGAGTCTTCAATTTGGTGGCATGACATAAGTCATCTTCCTCTGGTGGTGGATGTGTACTGAATGCTGCAGTGAGTCAGCAGAGTACAGTGCCATAGATTGAGCAACTACCGCAACATGAGCTGCCATTTTTATTTTACCCAATAATTTTTAAGGGGGGGGGGGGGGGACAGGTTCAACAACGCCTCCCCAGCCCCCTCTGAGGAAGTTTGCACACAATTTGTTTAAACCTGGACAAAGCTTGAATGTGAAGTTCTGCCCAGGACAGGAGCCATAGCAAGGCTTCAGGTTCCTACCTGATGAATCATGACCACTGCTGTGGCTTTGTCCGATTGAATCTGGATCGGATGACACTCCAAGTCAGGGTGTCAAGCTTTGCAGGGACAGCCAAATCACTTGCCATTACAGACTATTGATAGTCAATGTCCAAGTCCCTTTTACCAACAAGGTGCCAGGTGCCTGGGGACCCCCCCCCCAGTCTGCCAATGGGCATCTGTCAGGAGCATCTACCAGAATATTGGCAGAAATGACTGAGCCACTAAACCAGGGACAACCTAGTTCTTGGTGTCAGCCAAATGAGTCTGTACCAAGGTGTGAGAACTAGCTTAAAAGGACCTAGCCACTCAAATCATAATGCAGTAGCCCTCGCAGGGGTTAAGAGAAAACTATGGGATAACCTTTTTATCCCATAGTTCTCTTAAAGGGTCACAGGAGGACATATACTAGCATCCTCCCACAACCCAAAGCTCGCTATATCGGCTGAGGGCACCACAGCCGGGACGAATCTAAAGGCAGAGACAGCTGTGCATGCCTCACCCCATCTGTTCCTCCAGTCAGCACTGGGGAATCTGAGCGGGGAGAATCCATACGGAGATGATCGGAAAGTGAGCGAGTGACTGTTTGCTCACTTCCCGATCTATAGAGCCAATGTGAGTTTCATTGTCACATGAACTATAAGGTTGTGAAAATCACTCATTTTTCCTTAAACTTTTTTTGGAGAACCACAACATTGTCTCCATGCTTAAACTAGCCGCTGCCTCAGCTCCTTGTCTGTGTCCTACATTCACACACAGCATGCTGACCTGCACTGGCCCACCATCTGTCTCCTAGGCAGAGACCTCCCATGTTCCCTGGGTGGAGCCCTGCATCATAGTTAGCAACCATCACTCTGGATGCTGGTAAGATGTGGACCCAGGGCTGGAGGCTTTATCCCACCGATTATGCCACAAAGCCCAATCCAAGACCTACTAATCCCCGCCCCCCTCAAAAAAAAAAAACTGCAAATACTGTTTCCTCAGAATGAAATAAGCATCCTGGAGTCCCTCAACTTGTATGGGTGAGAACCCTGGGTGACAACTTCTAATACACAGCATTATCACACAATACGATGTGTTACAAGTAGGGTTGCACCAATAGTTTTTTGGGTATCAAGTGCCAATATTTGTTTTCCGGTATCAGGAGGCCTGACAGCATGTCATGACCCGCCTCCCGGCTGCATTGCAGGGTCACTAGGCAGCAGGAAGCCAGCTTCCTAGCCAATCAGGAAACTGGGTCATGACGTGCAGCCCAGCTTTCTGATTGGCTAGGAAGGCAGTTCCATGCTCCTTCGTGGCACTGCCATCAGAGGGAATCTCTTACCAGAAGTTCTGGTATCGGGGCAAGTATTGGACCATTTGGCACTAAAGCATACACATTAAAATTTAGTATACATTATATAACTGTCAAATACTAATAGTGCCATGTTCAACCACCGTATCTTCTCAAACAAAAGTCCCAGAAAGTTAAAATGCGGTGACCAGTTTTTTTTTTTTTTGGAGTCAGGCTTACTAAGAAATTTATTTTTTAAAAAAAGCTGTAAAAGTGGCTCGCTGCTACACTACTCTTATACAAGCTGAACCTTGTGTGAACAAATCCTTATGCCAATTTAACCCCTTCATGAGGGATGTACAGTGTATGGTCACTGGCATCGGGACTGTTTAAAACAGACTCCAGGCAGCTTTTGCCACCAGGACTGTTTAAAACTTGTAAAGCCGACTGTTGGCTTTATAGTAAGTGTGGCGGCTCAGCTGCCACCAAATCCATTCTACAGGCCGGTGAACAGGGGTCCCCACTCCTGCCCTGTTTCCTGGGCTCAGTTGCCCCTCCTACTGGCCCAGGACCAGCTTCTTTGGTGTCGGCGGGAAGCTGGGGAGGATGGGCGAACCTCCGCTCGTCAATCCCCTCCCTGTTCTATGAGACCGATGCAGATTGCATCACTTCCGGTCCCATAGCCGCCAGTGCTCGTTTCCTGAAGCCCAGCTATAAGATATTGAAGCGTGATCTGCACTTCAATAGCTTCTTTAGAATGTAAAGGTGACACGCTTGTAAGCCCCCTGTGATAGCAATTAAAAGTAAAAATAAGTTTAAAAAGTAAAAAATATGTTTTAAGTTGCCCGTAAACACGCGTTGGGCGCGCCTATGTCTGAAAAACAATGAACGTGCTACACACGCCAGAGTGAGCAATTCTAGGGCATCTCTGAACTGATTACCTGTGAGGGTTTTAAAGCGTTGTCTATGGACTTTTTGGAGTACTGAATTCTGTTGGTTTCACAGACGCACACATATTTTTAACCTGGGCATGTTGGGTATCCAATTACTGGTTGTAACCTCATCTTTTATATTTCATTTTAAAAGAAAAATGGGCATTAAGTGCATTTCACTACATTTTGGGGTTTGATAGAGTTGCATTAATATCATGCAAGATAATTTGCCACCATTTGATTCTATAGGGTCTTGGCTTTCAGAAAATATATGTTTGGGGTTTAAGTAATTTTCAGGCCTAAAATGTGGAATATAACATGGGTGCAAAACAAGGGGGGGGGTCATGAAGGGGTTAAGGATCTGTTTATTGGGCACTTACTGTCTGCTAAAATTATGTAGGTCAAAACTGGCTAGATTAGATAATAAAAAACCCTTGCAATTTGTGTTCCTAGTGAGACAGAAAATCTCACTACGAACACAACAGGAAGTGAGAAAGTAGCTCTAAAGTGAGGAATACCCTCTGTCATTGGAAGAGCCCCTCTATTCCTGTTCTGGTGGCAAAATGTAGGGTTTTGCCTTATTTTCTGCCAGTGGTAAAGAAAACTAGAGTAAATGATCCTGTAGTCACTGCAATAATGTATAGTTAGAACAAGCCACAGCACACTTGTGTAACGTATGTAGTATTTGCCGCTACTGCAATGTATTACAGCATGTTCCGGGTATAGGGACAGCTGAGCAACTTCCCTGTGCCGTTAAACATGGATGGGGAATACTAAACATTGTGAGTGAATGAGCTGACATGCAGCACCAGACTATCAAAACAGCAAAAATTACATTAAACTACCCCAAGTCTTCAAATGTCACCATGTATAACTGCTGCAGGTGTCAGTCAGATAAGTCAAATACCAGTTTCCCCTGCCAGTTCATAAGCCCTGTAGTGACAAGCCTGAGCTAGGAGCCACTGCATGCAGAGCAGATATTTCACACAGCTGGAAATGCAGAACACTTGCAGAATCCAGGTACAGTGAAAAGGCAGTTGACATTGTCAGCAGAAAGGCAAGTATAGTCAACTTTTACAGGTGTGCGTTTTTGCTGTTTTGACCAGATCTGCTTAAATCCATCCAATGCATAACTTGACTTGGAGGAATGTCAAGCCAAAAACAACCATTGGCTAGATTTGGGCTTTGAAGTACAACTGCAGTGTTAAGATACAAAACCATAAAGTTGTGTTTTTCCTGCCATGCCCCTGCTGAGGAGATCTCAACTTTGCTTCCATTACTGGGACAAGTAATGTAGGGAAACCACTCCAATACAAATTTCTTGCCGGAGCAGAGAAAGGTTAGACCCCCTTTTCAGCAGTAAAAGCCTTTGTCACTACTGGATATTTCTCCTTCATTGCCTGACCTGGTGACCAATGGGGACAGCTTAAAGCCTGACCGGTTAAAAAAACAAAACTTGAGCCACCCATTTTTACACTGACATAAAACATGAAAAATACAGAATTATTAAGTGACCACACAACACTTATACTTTTGTTGTTTTATTAATGCTGATCTGCCAGTATGACTTCCATATTAGTAACGCAAAACAAAAGGAAGTTGAGACTGCAATGAACATGTGATTTTGAAGGGAAGGGAATGTAGAGGCGAAAAGAAAGGCTTCAGTCATCTGAATTTCTACAACCAATCCATAAGACCCCAAAAACGCACACAGCCAGAATAGGGTCACAGCATTGAGGGAAATTGGCAACATATACTGAATGTGACCATCTATTTTAAAAATGAAATGTGGAATGCTTGGGCAGGGGCAAAAAGCTGTGCTATGTTTTACAAGTTAATACAAAAAAAAAAAAAAAAGGTCTTAAATTACATTATTCAATGAACATACTAATTACCCCAAAGATGCCAGATAAGGCATGTAGAAAAAAAACAAACCCAAGTGGAATATTCAGGTGCACTCAGTTAACAAAAGCACAATGAAGCCGTTTCTACATAAATGTGAAAATAGGATAGCCAGCCACAAGCAATGTGCCGTTTGATCCCAAATATCACTTTTGGTCATCTAGGTTGATATAGCCAAATTGTCTTGTAAATACAGGAATGTGGGAGAGTAGATTAGACGCCAGGCTGCATTTGGCAAATAACTCGACAAGCACAGAATAAAAAAGGGACAAAATTATGTGGTTAGAAAGAAAAGGCTACCTCTGTAAATCAAAATTAAATAACTTCAAAAACACAATATACTGTGGATGTATGCAAGTGAATGGCTTCTAGAAGGCTGCCTGTAGAATGAACGATTCCCTCTTCAAGAAGGCTTTCAGGGACTGGGAACAGGAGACACTGTCAGGGAATATGGTTACATGGAAGCCCCTTTACGAAGTGGCACAGACACTGGGAGAGGAGGCAATGAGGTCTTCACACAGCAAATCCTTCCACAGAGATTATACTGACGTTGCTACCTCCAAGTCTGTCAGCAAGGCAACTACGATCCTTTATTTCAGCAAAGCAGTTTGCCTGCCATTCATGTTTGATTCCTAGAGAAAAAAAATAATATGATTAAAGGCATTATTAAATGGTTATGCCAAGAGTCACCACAAGAAATTACAGAATATGGCATTTACCTGTTAATTTCTTCTTGATTGCATCTTTAGAACTGGCGTATATCATTTTGCTTTTCAGTGGAGAACACTCAGGAGCCCTGTGAAAAATATGACAAATAGTTTTGACTAAAACGGATCAACTGGGGGGGAGGCACACAAGTTACCCTTTGATGACTCAGGGCCTTGTCACCATATCCAGTGCATTCTGGAGCGGCGCGAGCACAAAACACACTGGATTGCATAGATCAGGCTGGGCTGCATTCCAGGGTCTGCCCACCCCCCCCCCCCCCTGCAGTGCGATTGCCCGCACCGGAATGTGAAGTACAGGAATGCCCTCTTTCCAGTGCAGCAAGACTGGAAAAACAAAACTTCCGATTGCACTGGAACGGAGGGCATTCCTTTAACTTACATTCTGGTGTGGGCGAGGGGCATGCCTGCAGTGCCATTGACATGAATAGCACTGCCACACCCCCTCCTGCCCCAGAACGCAGCCCGACCTATGCGATCCAGTGCATTTCAGGCTCAAACCGCACAAGAATGCACTGACTATGGCATGACTGGGCCCTCAATTCAGTCTGATAAGCACTTCCATGTCTAGATTTTGCAACATATTAAAGTGGCAAAAACACTGCTGAGTTATTAGAAGGAAGCCATTTGCAAATCTAAACGTTTCAGCTGACTGCTGTACACCACATCCAGTGTCCATATGGCAAGTAGTTGTAGCCATATAAGCAGTTAGCCAGGTAGTGAGGTAAATTAGCAAGAACTGTTAGATCATTTCAGTTCCCCTTTAAAAGTCAACCCTGCCTTTTCACCAAACACACACTAGCCCAATTCAGCAGTTTCGATCTGCAGCATGCCAGCTTTGATTGCCTCCATTTCCAGAACAAGGTGTGCAGTACTGCAGAAGTGCTAATATGTTGTACAGAACAGGCTGGATACCCACATGGTGCATAGGTCAAGCATGGTCAGCCCATTACAGTCTGCAGTGGATTTACACTTGTGCCTATTCAGCCCTGGAAACCGATAAGCAAGACTGCTGTAGGTTTGACAGATGCAGGATAGCCATAGTGGAACTAAAACGGCTTAGTTTACCCTGCATCTGGTTAAAACATTCTACCTTTCCAACTGGATAGCTTGGGTTGGAAGCAATCATGATATCTGGAGACTTGGGGGTTTTAGTGTCACCAAGAAACTAGATACACAAAAAAAACCAAAAAAACCCAAACATTTATTGTGTAAGTCATACTCCAGCTCAACTCTCCTTTAAAGATTCAGCAAGGAGGCATGGCTTACACAAAGCTAGGCATCACACTATGCTCAGACTACACCCAGATGACATTTCCTCATCAAATTGAGTTCTGTGGAAGGGGAATACAACTCCTGAACTGTACTGGATTTTTATTTATACAAGTCTGAACAAAATTACATATGGCTTCGGGTACTTTCCTCCATGCACTCCAAGGATTTTTCAGCACTTCACCCCCAGTTTAAATTAGGTTTTCCTCCTCTACTCACGAGACTCCAGTGTGGCTCTAGTTTCCAGTATTCCAGTACGGAGTCTGCTAGCAATGAGTGACAGTCACCACTCTCTGCAGGGACAGGATCAAGAAGTGAGCGAGCGACGGTATGTGTTCGCTCACTTCCCGATCTATTGAGCCGACCTGCGACAGTCTCATTGTCACACGCCTGCTCGATCTTTGAGGATGAGTGATTTTAACTCACCTCATACTTCTCCTTTAAGTAACATGTAATCTGCTCTTTCTGAAAGTGCTGGGCAATGACTTTGTCATGTGCTTTCGGAATCTCACTGCAGGCACACAGAAGCCTAAGTTACCGTAAGGTGAAAAGTCTTGCTCATTCCAGGGTGCTGATGGTGTGATGTGGACGGCTAATCAGAATGAACTGTTCCAGTCTAGTTCTTTGTATGTGAAGATGGAATTTCCTTTGGGTAGACACCAAGCGCAGCTTAAGTTGTTACTGCTGACTCCAAAGAATGCAGTCTTATTTCCCATTCCCACAATCGGCCAAGGAGCCTGCTGCCTCTGCTGACATGTTTCCTCTATTCCTCCGGAGCCATTCTTTTGTAGAAAGGCAACACTGAGACGCAGCTAATGCCTTTCCAGTTCAGCTCAGACTTACAATTTTGAGGTTAGGATTGTTATTGCTCGCATTCCTCTTTAAGAAGCAGCATTCAGAATACAGGCTACATAAGGATTTGGATAAAAGAGGACTGTATTAAAACAACATTTAACTGATTGCAAACCAAAAAATAAAATCAATGTTATCATTTTCAATAAACAACACAAGTTCTAACTTAAGGCTTCAGTTTACATTACATGGCTGAGAAATGTTTATGTCCGTTCTACTTTTTCCAACTTTTGCGCTTAATTTTTTTTAATTCTTAGATGAAAGTAAAAATCTGATTTATTTTTGTAACTGACTCACTGCAAAATCCTTTTCTTTGCCTTGAGGTCACACAGTTGTGAACTAAGATCCAGGGCCATGTCCTTCAATGAACGAAATAGAAACATCTTTTTCCTAGGTCGCCCACATGAATGGAGCCTGAAAGACGATTGAGGACACGCCAGTATTGTTCATTGTCATTGTGTTGTTTCCTTTTTGGTGAACGATGATAAAATGTGCAATTTGTGAGTGTGAAAAATGAACTGTTCCTTCAGGCTAGGTTAACACCTCGGCGATTTATCCACGCGATATTGCGCAAAACACAGATTCCCGTTGGGGCCTGTTCACACCTTTGCGTTGTGTCGCGCGACCAAAATCGCCTATCGTGCAAAAAGGTGCAGGAGCTATTTTTGGGCGGCTGTCACAATTTTCAACGCAAAATCGCGCAAACAAAAAAGTGCGACAACAGCACGAAAACAGCTCTCCAGCGCAATCGCCTAGGTAGAGTCCACCATAAAAAAATAATAATAAATGCACAAATATTCATAAAAGAAAAAATGTGCATGTTTTATATTTTTGCTTTGGAGTCATTAAAGCATTGCAACAGGTCGAAGAATGAGGGCCCAGTCACACCATATCCAGTGCGTTCTGGCACAATTTGTGAGCCGGAAACGCACTAGATCGCAGAAACCGAGCCAGGCCGCGTTCAGGGGCAGGAGGGGGCATGGTGGTGCCCCGCTCGCAGTGCGATTGCCCGCACCGGAATGTGAAGTACAGGAATGCCCTCTTTCCAGTGCAGCAAGACTGGAAAAACAAAACTTCCGATTGCACTGGAACGGAGGGCATTCCTTTAACTTACATTCTGGTGTGGGCGAGGGGCATGCCTGCAGTGCCATTGACATGAATAGCACTGCCACACCCCCTCCTGCCCCAGAACGCAGCCCGACCTATGCGATCCAGTGCATTTCAGGCTCAAACCGCACAAGAATGCACTGACTATGGCATGACTGGGCCCTCAATTCAGTCTGATAAGCACTTCCATGTCTAGATTTTGCAACATATTAAAGTGGCAAAAACACTGCTGAGTTATTAGAAGGAAGCCATTTGCAAATCTAAACGTTTCAGCTGACTGCTGTACACCACATCCAGTGTCCATATGGCAAGTAGTTGTAGCCATATAAGCAGTTAGCCAGGTAGTGAGGTAAATTAGCAAGAACTGTTAGATCATTTCAGTTCCCCTTTAAAAGTCAACCCTGCCTTTTCACCAAACACACACTAGCCCAATTCAGCAGTTTCGATCTGCAGCATGCCAGCTTTGCTTGCCTCCATTTCCAGAACAAGGTGTGCAGTACTGCAGAAGTGCTAATATGTTGTACAGAACAGGCTGGATACCCACATGGTGCATAGGTCAAGCATGGTCAGCCCATTACAGTCTGCAGTGGATTTACACTTGTGCCTATTCAGCCCTGGAAACCGATAAGCAAGACTGCTGTAGGTTTGACAGATGCAGGATAGCCATAGTGGAACTAAAACGGCTTAGTTTACCCTGCATCTGGTTAAAACATTCTACCTTTCCAACTGGATAGCTTGGGTTGGAAGCAATCATGATATCTGGAGACTTGGGGGTTTTAGTGTCACCAAGAAACTAGATACACAAAAAAAACCAAAAAAACCCAAACATTTATTGTGTAAGTCATACTCCAGCTCAACTCTCCTTTAAAGATTCAGCAAGGAGGCATGGCTTACACAAAGCTAGGCATCACACTATGCTCAGACTACACCCAGATGACATTTCCTCATCAAATTGAGTTCTGTGGAAGGGGAATACAACTCCTGAACTGTACTGGATTTTTATTTATACAAGTCTGAACAAAATTACATATGGCTTCGGGTACTTTCCTCCATGCACTCCAAGGATTTTTCAGCACTTCACCCCCAGTTTAAATTAGGTTTTCCTCCTCTACTCACGAGACTCCAGTGTGGCTCTAGTTTCCAGTATTCCAGTACGGAGTCTGCTAGCATAATAGACACTTAAATCCCCCCCCCCCCTATTTGTCATTCAGGGGCCCTGGCCAAGACAAATGTCCAATGCTTGGCCCATCACCTTAAGACAACTTGGGCAGTAAACCCTCCACTACGACGATCAAAATTAGCCACTGCCATGCCTGAAAGACTCAAGGTGGGAACCTAAGAAAGTAGCTTTACCACAATCAAACTTCAGACCTTGAGAATTTTAGTTTGTGCGCTCTGCAACCTCCATCCCCTTTCAAGTGCGGACATGCTGCCAGAACCAAGAACAGTCTTGTATTAAAATATAAACTAAAAAGGGGTAATCAGTTTTAACAGACCACCTGCATTAGATTTGAATACAAACTCCTAACCAGAGTCCTAGCTGTAGAAAGGGGAAGAGGGAGGAATAGGATGAAGCAGTATCTTACCCTGGAATGCAACTGACTGCCATGCTAGTCTGTCCAACAGCAGTTGATAGGCGATCCTATAGTGTTAGTCAGGCTTAGCGCTAATTCAACAGCAGAGCTGGAGAGAAACATTCTGGCTCCTAAGGACCCAGAGGTATATCCACTAGGAGATTAGGAGACTTGTGTCCAACCTTAGAGGCAGGGTATTATACTGAGCCACTAGAGGCCTTTTGGCCAAACAAATGCTGGGAGAAAAGCTTTGCTACCAAACAGATTTAAGGGAGAAAATGTCAGGCACATGGCAACTATACTGTAGCACTTTTCTGTTTACATCTCAGACAGAATAAGCGTTGATGCAAGTTGAACACTGGAGATGGAGCATGTGCATTTGTGGGGAAAAAATAATGAGGCAAGTATAGGACTTTGTGGGCAACTCAACTAGTCAATTATGGTAAATTAGTTGTAACAGTAAAACTAGCATTGGGAACTCTTTAGTTTGAATCCTGCCGGAAAGACTGCTTCCTATGACCACATAGATGCCAGTTTGGACATCTGAAGTGAAGTTTCCCAAATTCCTAAAATCGCAGCCAATCATTGACAGCACTCCTAGTGTTAAGCGAGAAGTTACCAGCTATCCAGGTTTACAGCCAAATTCATTCCAAGGTCCTCTGGAATGCACATAAACCATGTATTGAAATCACATTCTATGCAAAAGTCTTTTAAAGATTACAGAATTGTGCATATGCATTTACTATAGGGCCTCATGGAGAGCACAGATCAATATTAAAACAAAAACACACGCTATGTATAGCTAGTATATACAACACCAAGAAAGCGGTACCCTTTGTAATGACCAATGTTAGACACTAAACAAAGTAACCCTAAGGACCTCATTCACAGTGCAAAAGCAAAATGGTATATTGCTTATATACGAGTACATGCGCATATGTACATGCATATATGCAATCCCAGAATGGATCATCCGTAATAGACATTTTAATGAACTGTATGCACGTAAATACACTGCCCAGACGCATCTAGGTTCCATTCTGTTTTTTGTGCATTTTTACACTACGCAAATATACAGCTCCATACACAGCTATGTGTATGGAGCCATTTATTTGCATATGGTACAATACATGCGGCAGTGTGAATGAGGCCTATATGTCTGTTACAATATGAAGGATCTGCTTGTTGTATAAAGGAAAGCCAAACTAGTCCGTTATGTAATTTAAAAAAAAATTAGTATACGCGGTCTTCTGGCCACACAAATGAATCTTCAACTTAAGGAAAGTGGCAAAACATGTATTAGTAGCACAAAAAGCAAAACTTTTGCTACATGATCTCACCAGAAAATGAAGACTAGCTCCTCTTTCTTGCTCTCCTTGGTTTCATAGGTACAGTCATAAAGAGCATAACGGCAGTCATCGGTTGGCAGCATTTCCACAAAGCGTTTGTATGGGTCACCAGTCTCACAAACATCTCCAACCAAGATCTCCTTGCCTTCTTCTGGGATGATAGTTTTCTTGTCAGGACTTAAGCAAAATAGAACTGCCTTAATGCGCTTACTTTTATCTTCTAAACTTTTGTGAAGCTTCATAGAATTGAATATTGTAAGGACACAGTCAGATACAGTCACACCTGAGGCCTGAAAAACAGTAAAAAAGGATAATTTTAGTTTTTGCATCCAACACTAATTTGCAGTAATAGTTGCAGGAAAGGTAGAAGTTTAGCTGGCTATACACAAGAATTTAGTTTAAACTTCCTCACCGAGTCAACTTAGGTCATTCAAAAGCCCTTAAAGTGGAACCTTTACCCCCTTTGACTAAAAATTACATCAGCATACGGCTCCGAATGCCAATATGAAATCTTATTCATTAGCTAAACAAACATTTTTATTTTAGTTACAATTTTTCTACTTTATGGTGCACTTTGGCACAAATGTAATTGTGCACAAGCTGTGCATCCTGGGAAGCTTACATCAGCAGAGCATTACTGGGAAATCTCATGCGAACCCAGGGAAAGGCATTTTCCTCCCCTGAGATGTGCATGGTCACATGCCCTAGTCACATGTGCCAGAGTTCCAGAAGCAAAGTGTGATCTAGTAACCTGTCCTTAGTTAAAATGGCCATTGTCTGAGGAAGAAAAAATAAGGTATGCAAAAATGTTAATTAAAAGCTAGCAATGCTCAAGAATCTGTAGATTGTCATTAAACATTTCTAAAAGGTGCATTTGTCGTTTTGAAGATATGGGTAAAGTTAATCTTCAATTTTGAGCAGACCTGCTGCTTGAATGGAAATCCACATGCATTAAACGGGTTTCTTGTGACTAGCAAATTTAGAAAGTATTCTGACCCTTCACTTTGTTTTGTTATGATGCAGCCTGATACTACAGTTTACATGTTTATTTTTTTCTCATTAGTCTACACTTAGTACACCATAATGACAAAGTGAAAACAGAATTTAGAAAGTTCTGTGAATTTCTTTAAAAAAAAACCTCAGGTATCACATTGGCCTAAGTATTCAGACCCTTTACTCAGTTCCTTTGTTAAAGCACCGATGGTAGCAATTACAGCCAAGAGTCTTTTTGGGTATGACTTCACAAGCTTTGCACACCTGTATTGGGAGATTCTGCCATTCTTTGCAAATCCTCAAGCTCAGTCAGGATGGATGTTCAATACGATTCAAGTCATGGCTCTGGCTTCGAGTTGTCGCTAAGCCACTCCTGTGCCGTCTCGACTGTGTGCTTAGGATCCTTGTTATGTTGGAAGGTGAACCTTTGGCATAGCCTGAGGTCCTGAGTGCTGCCGAACATGTTCTTATTGAGGATCTCTGTACTTTGCTCCATTGAGCTTTATCTCAACACTGACCAGTCCCAGTGCTTGCTGCTAAAAAACATCCCCACAGCATGATGCTGCCACCACCATGCTTTACTGTTGGGATGGTATTAGGCATGAGCGGTGCCTGGTTTCCTCCAGACATAACATTTAGAATTGAGGCCAAATGGGTAAATCTTGGTTTCATCCTTCAGGTGCTTTTCTGCAAACTCCCAAGCAGGTTCTCATGTGTTTTGCACTGAGGAGAGGCTTCCATCTAGCCACTCTGCCATAAAGGCCAGATCAGTAGAGGGCTGCAGTGATAGTTGTCATTCTGGAACTTTGTCCCATCTCCACACAGGAACTCTGGAGCTCCTGGTTGTGTCAAACATCTTTTATTGGAGGAGAATTATGGAGGCCACTATGCCCTTGGGAACATTCAGCGCAGTAGACTTTGTAGCCTTCCCCAGATCTTTGTCTTGCAATAATCCTGTCTGAGCTCTTTGCAGTTCCTTTGACCTCATGGCTTCCGCTCTGATACAGAATGCATTATCAGCTGTAAGGTCTTCTACAGAGGCGTGCCTTTCCAAATCATGTCCAATTTAACCAGAGGTGGACTCCAATCAAGGTGTAGAAACATCTCAGAAACGAGGAGGCACCTGAGCTAAATTCCAAGTGTTGCAAAGGACCTGCATACCAATGCCATTTCAGTTTTTCCTACATTTCTAAAATTTTACTTTGTCATTATGGGGGTGTAGATTAATGAAAACAAAATTATACTGAAGTATCAGGCAGCAACATGAAATTGAAAAAGTGAAGGGGGTCTGAATACTTTCTGAATGCACTATGCATTGTTCTGGTTCAAAATACATGGCTGTCTACCAAGGCTGCAACTAATGATTATTTCTTCCTTTGCCATCCTTAATTTCAAATAAAATACACAAATGCAGTGTTACAAAGTTCACTTCAGAATAAAACTGCATGCAAATTTTTTTGCAATTGAAATGAATAGTACTGCAATGCATCTGCCGCAGCAGAATTTGTCAACCCGAAACTGAAAATGATTTCCCCACCTATTTTTTTGTTCCAAACAATTGTATCACAGGCACATGGTGCTTGAATAGCTTTGGCCAGGGAATGACAGCTGCTAGGGGAAGAATACTGCAGGCAACAGCCAGCTGAATGTAAATATAGAAGGTAATATGCTGAACTATTCCCATTATCGATTAGTTGATTGTAGCCCTACTCTACTGTCTACACTGCCCACTTTTTTTTTTTTACTTTAAAAAGTACAGAATGCAATTACAAACAAAACTTCAGATTTTAGATGCTCAGAAAACAGCCCCATAAAAGGGAGGCGACTGAGCAATGGCAGACAGGAGATGGAAATCGACTGGCTTCAAGATTCCTGCAGATTGCAACCATCTGATTTAGACAAGACCACATAATTGTTTTGTAATACATGATAAAAAGCTGGGAGAGCCAACTACACACTTTGAAAAGTATTATGAGAGCTATGAATTTCATACATCAGATATTTGCATTTATTGAACAGATATGTAAAACACTTTAATGGTGTATTAAAAAGGACCCTTTTACCAAGTTTGATGTTACACCCTAAATGTGGGTGTAACATGACATGGCCATAAACATGCACTTACCCTTCAAGTAGGGATGTATCGAAGTTTTTTGCCACCGAAAGTCGAAAATAGCATGTTAAAATGCTGAAAGTGCAATCTTTCGGCCGAAATCGCGGTGCATCCATAGTTTCTCTCCTCCCCGTTGTGCAGGGCTCTGTATCCCCTTTGACAGCATCCAGCAGGGAGGAGAAGCTGTGAGGAGGCCCAGCGGTGCTAGGAAAGAGATCACTGAACACCCAGCATGTCACAGGAGGCCAGGCTCTCCTGCACCACCCCCTCAGCCTGATGGGAGCAGTGCAGTGGCCAGAGAGCCTTGCACTGTCACAGGAGTTTGAGCCAGCAGTGAGGGGGAGGAGTCAGCCGTCAATAGACAGCTCTCCAACTCAGCTTTGACAGAGTGGTACAAGTAGCCAGCCATCACCGATCTAGGGCATCCACATATGGTGAAATCTCGCATCACTCAAAACATAAAAGATTAGTGAACTGCAATACGAGGTATGCAATTCATGTACAGACATGTAATGAATGCCAAATACTGTATGTGGGTAGGAGCAACAGAAAACTTAAAGCAGACCTTTACCCTGCAAAAATCACATTAGCATTCAGCTATATGTGCCAATATGAAAGCATTCTACATTTATTAGATACACTTTCTTCTAGGGCTGCAACCAACAATTTTCATAATTAGTTGCTGATTTTTTTTAAATTAAAACCAGATAAAATTAAATACTCTTAATTAAAATCAAATACACAAATGGAGTAATAAAAACCATTTTAGAATAAAACTGCACGGCACTGGAATGCATTCCAGTGCAGGCAGTAGGAGTGTTTAGGATGCTATTGAAATGAATGGAACCACAACACATTTTGCAGCAGACTTTCAGGCCAAAACTTTTCTGACTTTACATTTCTTTTAATTGTATGCATTATTTAACTTCATGGACATCTCTATCTCTCTCTCTATCTCCATCTATCATCTATCTCCATCTATCTAGTTTAAAGTTAGTCATGAATATTGGCCCGAGAAAAATTGTTCTCTGGCGCACATGCTGACGACATGTATCTTTACCATTAGTATGCACACAGTTGCAGGGTCGTGGGACTTCAAAAGTTTGGTAGTTTTAATTTTATTTAATTTTTCCCATTGCCATCACATAGTGGGAGGGGGGCTCATTAGAGATAACCAGTTCTATTTATGTTGTAAGTAGGTTTTAGTTGGCGTGTGTTAGAACAATAAAGAGAAAAGAGAGCAAGATCTCACACCCCAAATAGATTTGACTAAAAAGAATACAAAATAGACCAATTAGTTTTTAACTCTATTTATCTATTTTCAATTATGTAATAAATGAATTCATATTTTTATACAATTAGAGAGTTTATAGTATTTCTTAAAAGCCCCTCCCCTTTCGGTAATTGCATACCTTAAGGTGGAATCTACTCTTTGTATTCTTTTTAGTCAGTTCTATTTATGGAGACATTGAGGCCTTTTTAGACCTAAAGATCTAGCTGGGGAATGACAGCCGCAAACAGCCTGCTATTGGTCGTTTTAAGTTGACAACGATTCTCATTATCGATCGTAGACAAGTATCAGTCCTACTTGCAATTACCGTTTCTCTACTTGCTGGTTAAATGCATCCTAGGAATGCTACATCACCAGTGCCTTCCATCTGCAAAAACTCAGGGGAAAAGGCATTGAGACTTCAGATGTGCACTGTCACATGTTCCAGGAGGCAGACCCAGAGCTCCAGGAAGTAAAGGGAGTTTGGATTTAATAGCAACTAAGAATGGTGAGGGGAAAAAAAAAAAAAAAAAAAAGGTATGCAAAGAATAAAAAAAAGTTGGCAATTATCTAAAAATAGCTGTTTGTAGAATTGCAATTTCAAAATATGTCTAATATGCCTCTTTTGTAATATTTAACATGGTCAAATCTGTTAAATTTTTATATTAAATCTGGTTAAAACACAAAATCACATCATTTTGTGCAAACAATTCTAGCACCAAATCCCTTAGGAAAACAATCTGCTTTAGCATGCAGGCTGGAGTCATCAGCAAAGGGTGTTTTTACAATGCAGGGCAGTATACTTAACATTTGAGAAATTGTATTAATTTAATATATATGAAGCGTCAAGTAAACTCTGATGCAGAAAAAAATGCAGGCAT